CTGGGGTCGAGGGCGACTAAATAATCGCGTCTTGGCCAAGTATGAGACGATTCATCTAGCTTTGCGCGACATGGCTGATTAGCGGTGCGTATGATGGTGAGATCTGCCGCGGTCGGCAGCTTTCCCCCTGGCGCAGGAACTCGATGATGAGGTCACTGATGGGGGGGGGGGGGGGGGGGCGCTGCTGACCCCCCCCCCCCCCCCCCCCCCCCCCAACTTCAAACGGACGGACGGGGGGGGGGGCCATGTAGGGCCGCATATTCTACGGCTTCGCGCGCCGATGGCCCCCTTGATCCGCGCGCAGGTTCGCGTCGGACGATGGCTGATGGAAATTAGGGCGCCCGTTCCATGTCGCCTTCGGTCGCGGCTCCGCCTTCCAACTGGCGTTCTCAGGTATCTGTCTAGGGGGCGCGCGCCTCGGCCACGTTTCTCCGCGTGGACAGAGGGCGTCGTTTCCGCTGCGAGTGGCTTGGCGACCGTCCGTCGCCACGACAAACGCTGCCCTGCGCCCGTGTCTTTCGCCTTTTGGGCCCCAGTCGTTCAGAACCTGCGAGGGCGGTGGAAGGGGCTTCTGTTTGACGACGGGGCTTGGTTCTCCGCTCTCGCTCTTCTGGGGCCCGCGCGGGGGCTGGATCGTGATCCCGCTGCTGGTGCCTCTCCTTGTGCCTTCCTGACGACCCATGCCCACCACCGCAAAGGCGTTGTACTTCCTCCGCGTCAGGATTTCCTGCGAGGCTGAAGTTCCCTGCTGGGTGGCACAAGATTAGCTGCCACTGTTTCCCGCAGGCGCTCCTGGCCGTGGGCCCCCAGGGCCTCGGCCCCCCTGGTATTCTTTCTGTGGCCCTGTTCCTGCCATGTTCCTTTCCCGAATGCCATGGCGGCGATGCGCCAGACATGCCGCGGCCACCGCGGGCTCTTGGAATGCGATGGTTGCGGGGGCCGCTCCGGCTGCCAACCGCGCCGAGGCGCCGCGGGGTTGCGTCGCGCCCCCTGGCCCTTCGGCGGCGCAAGTTCTCCATGTGTTTCGGTTTGGCACATTCGCTGCGTCCTGGGTCTTTCCCCTTGCCTCGCATGCGGGCCCCTTGCGTCAGTGCCGTTTCTCGGTGGCGCCCCCCCCGCCTTCGGTCGTGGCCCCCTGCCAGTTCCGATGGCGGGCGCGGCTGCGCCCGCGCCCCCGCGCGCGAGGCGCCTCGTCGCCCTCGCGTGGGTGGTGGGGCCTGCCAATCTGCTGTGGATCAGCGGCCAGTGCCCTTCCTGTCTCTCCTGTCCTGCTGCTGTTCCCTCCTCCCTCTCCGCGTCCAAGTGGGCGCGCGCCCGCCAAGCGGCGCACTCTGACAATGACTACGGATGATGGAACGTGCACGCCCGCCCGCCCGGTCTGAGTCCGTCCCGTCTTTTTCTTTTCTTCCGGGATGCGAATAACCCAGTAAAGTGCGCCGGTAACAGGAAGGCGCGGTCATGTGCACTTCAGTGTACTTTTACCCGGGGCCGCGGCCGTCTGGACCGAAAATGCAGCCAGTGTTGAGGCGAGAGCACGTTTCCTTAATGAGTTACGAGAATGTGTCGGGCGACGCGGCTGCCGGACCCCGCATTGTCGAGCCCCTCGCCCCCCTTTTTGGTGTTTTTTCAAAATAATTGACTTGGCGTCCGCGCGAGATTCTTCGCCGATCGATGCTGGTCATTCCACGGTGCTTCTGGAGTCGCCATTGGATTATTCCACGCGCCAGCGACGGGGGGTCCATGGCCGATCGAAGAGATCCGCGCGGTCCGCCGAACATATAACTACATACATACATATATATATATGTACATATACACATGTGCATATATATGTATGTGTATGTATGTGTGCGTCTATATGTGAATATATAGATGAATATATATATATATATATATGTACAGACTCGCGCTGATGTAGCCTATGTTCATACATACATATATACATACACATACACATACACACATATATATACACATACACACATACATTCATGCATACATATACACATATATACACATATCTACCTACCTACATACAAACATACACACATATACACATTCACATACCCATACATATAGATATACGCATACGCGCACACATACATACACATAATCAGTTACATATACATTTACGTATACAGAGGTCGGTACATCTACATTCATATATACATATACGTATCACATATCACATACTACAGATTACATATACATGTACATGTACATATACATATACATATGCATATACATATGTATACATATACATATACATATACATATCCATATACATATACATAAACATATGCATATTCATATGCATACGCATATGCATAATGCATAATTCATAATGCATCATGCATAATGCATATGCATATACATATACATATACATATACATATACATACACATATACATATACATATACACGTGCATATGCATATGCATATACATATACGTACGTACGTACATTCATACATACGACAACACGCCGCTGAAATAATGTCTGCTTCAAGCTTAGGAGGGGGTGATTTTTGGTAGGTCTCTCAGATCTGGGTCGGGGGGGCGATGCGTGGACGAGGCCCCGCCGCGTCGAGAAAAAAATCCATTTCCTTGTTTGGCGTTCCCCGTCGTACCGCGGGAACTGCATAATCCTTATTATCAGCATCATCTTCAGCATCATCATCACCATCATCAACATCATCATCATCATCATCATCAGCATCTCCTTCCCCATTCCTCTTCGTCCCAACACTTGTTCAGTCGGGTGTCTCGCGCGTCGGGCGAGCGAACTCGGGGTGACCCAGCGAAGTCCCGTGGTGTCGGGCTGACAGGTTTGAATCGATCCACATTCGTGCTAGATGTTGCCGGGGGCTGCCAAGAGTCAGGAGGGGGCGATGACTTGGGAGGGGTGAGTCTCGTGGGCTGGGCCATGATATCTCCCCGGACGTCATGGCCCCCCCCCGTCTGAATCCAATGCGTTCCCTGATTCTCTCTCCCTGGGCCCGCGTGCAAGCCGCTGGCCATGATTTGCGAAACCCCGTCGTTGACGGCCTCCCTCTTGGACGGACGCCCCACATGTTGCTGACAACGTTGTCTGTATTCGAATACCTACTCTTCGTCGGAACATCCGCGACACTCCAGAACCATAAAGCTGTCGACGACATCATCGGACTCCTCGTCTTCCTCGTGTTCATCGACCTTGCCCCCCTCCTCTTGCTTCTCCGTTGCTCCATCACAAGCATCGAGTGGATTCGAGTGTCGCCCTCGCTTCCCATGTCATTATCTGGAGGTTCCCGAATTTTCTCGGCTGTTTTCTGAGCATCCTGGTACTTACCGATTGTTGCTGGAGGGAACTTCATGAAATCGTCGTGTTGGCTGGCCGCTCCTGTTCATTTCTCCAGATGTACGGGGAGGCTTACGGGGAAGGGAGCTGGCTGAGGAGGGATTGGATGGCGGGGAGGATGACGCGGAGGAGGAGGGACAGTGGAGGATGGTGAGGAAGAGGGGACACAGTGGAGGATGGAGCGAAGGAGTGAGGAGGTGGAGGGATGGGGAGGGATGGGATGGGAGGGATGGGGAGAAGGATATGATTAGGAAGTGGGGATGGGGAGGAAGACGGGGGAGAGAGGTGGAGGGAGGGAGGATGGGGATGAGATAGGAAGGATGGACCGAACGGAGGTGGTGCAGTTCGAGCTCAAATGTCGGCGGACGTGCAAGTTTGCGCGTGCGCGGGGGAACCAATATTTGTTGTGGCCCGATGAAGGCCTTAGGCCAGCTCTGCTGGCGCGGCTTCTGTACGGCGCGAGGCTACATCACGGTCGCATGGTACTTTTCGAATGAAGTCGAGGTTGATTAGTAGGCCGACCCTGCCAAACGGAGGGTACCTTTGTGTCCTGTGCTTCGCTACCCATGCCCTCTATATATTCCTATAGCGATGTGACTCTTGGAAGCGTTTTGTGTCCTCTCGCGTGTCTTCTCCAACCCACCCCCCCGACTGCATCGCTGGTCACCTCTCCCGCGCTCGCTGCTGGGAACGAGGAACCGATTCCCCCCGTTACCCCCCCCCCCTGGGCGCGCGCGCTCGTTTCCCGGTCCTCACGCAACAGGGGTCAGCGCGGACGGGCTTCGGCCTCTCCCCGCGGCCACGCATGAGAGGGCAGGGATCGGCTCAACGGTACCCAGAGGGCGACGCGCGCCAGCGGACGATGCCCTGCCGCCCGGCGGTTCGAGCAGAGATCACGGCGGCCAGTTTTGTGCACGCCTCAGACTTTCAGCTGTCGATCCCGGGCACCCAGACCACTGCCGGCTGCGGTCACAAGGGTCGGCCATGCGCGGAGCGGGGTAGAGCCGGACCGAGGTATAAGCTCGAGGTCGATTCGGGGAGGGTACCCTAATGCTTTCCGTGCTTGTCGGATGTTCTTGTGTATCCTGGGGGAGGATACTTTCGAATATTCTTCAGTTTGGCTGGCGGAGTGTCTCATGTTCTTGCAACTCTGCTCTTCTGTCTTAGGTTTGACTGAAGGGGGCGGAGGAAGGCTTCTTGGAAGGAGGCCGCTCATTAGGAGGCGCGGGCCCTACATCTATAGACTGTGGGTGTAGGGCCGTCGCCTACTAAGAAGCGGCCTCCTTCTAAGAAGCCTCCCCCCTCCTCCATGTGTACCTCTTGTGCGCGCCGCCACTCCCCTCTGGCTGGCCCTGGCTTGGAGGGCGTGTTTCACCCTGGGGGCGATAGCGGCCGTTGCCGGGGGGGGAGGGGTGTGGCCGGTAACGTCACGTTTCTCGCTGGCGCTGTCTGGGAATGTCTAGGGATGGCCAGAGACAGCTCGGAGGACAGCACGGGTCGTGACGTGACTTTGGAGAGGGGGAGGCGGGCGGCCGGGGCCGGCAGTCAATGGCCGTTGTCCTGAACATTGAGAAGACGCCCTTTTGTGGAGCCACTACGTTGCTTCGTTCCCCTTGCTCTCCCTTTCGCGGGAGCGTGAGCCTCGCGCGCGTCTCCAGAGGAGCACCAGAACTACACGCAGGCGGAGTGCGGGCCAGGCAAGACCCTCCAGGCCCCGGGGGTTCGGCCCTACACATCCTCGCGCCGTGAGAAAGACGACTCGAGGCTCTCGGCTGTGTTCGGCCTTACTGTTGAGTCAGGTATGTCCCTCTACAGGAGGAGTATTCCAGAACAGTAATGTCCGGTGACGATTCGTCGTGATCTGTTGACTATTTTGGATGTGTTCTTGGAATTTTTACATTTCCAAACACCGCGTTCAGGTGGACAATGCCCGACCTAACAGTCTGAATTTCTTGGGCGCCCGCAGGCCTCCTCTAGAAGGGGTCCGAGCAGATGGGGTCGGAGGATCGCGCCGCATCACCGCTGCGTCGGCGACGCGGCTCGATGCGGAGCATGATTTTCTCCGCGCCGACGTCGGCGATGCATCGCCGACGTCTCTGGTGCTTCGCTGATGCATCGGCGATGCGGCGCGATCCTCCGACCCCATCTTGTCGGACCCCATCTTGTCGGGGCCTCTAGTTCCCTTGCCGGGCCCCGGGACCTGCAAAGAACGACCCGGGATGAAAGCGGGTCCTTGGGAAGGGGTCCAAACCTCTGGTGAAGCAGGTTTTGAATCAAGCACGACGTCAGATGTTGGGGGGGTCTGCTCAGGGCAACGTTGGGGGGGGGGACTGGGTTCAGGGGGGGAGTCAACGACCCTCAGTTGCCCAGCCGACGGGCCCGATGGCCCACCCCCGCCCAGCAGCGCCCGCATCCGCTGCGAGGGGCCCATCGGCGATGGATCTTCGACTCCAGCTTGACGTTTCCCCCCCCGAGCCGGGTCCCCCGCAGGGCAGGCCAGCCACGGGGGAGCCGGGGCTCGTCGCCCCTCCCCGAGGGTCCCGTCGGCTTCGGCACCCCTCGTCGAGAGGCCGTCGAGGCGACGTGCTCCCCCAGGGAGGCCGCCTACGATCCGATTCGATGCGATTCGATTCGGTGGCTGGAGCCGCGATTCCAATTCGATGTGATCCGGCTATTCTCCGGCATCGGCCAGGGCCAGCCGGAAGCGGGGCGCGGCGATTCGATACCGATCCGATTCGGGACGATTCGTTGGTGAGACGATCTGCTCTCGATCCGATCCGATTTCGCGATCCGACCCAGCGCAGACCTGGGAGGGGGGTACAGTGGAAACTCGGGACTCAAGAGACGGGGGTCAATGCAAATGGGGGTCAGTCAGAGCGCCAGATCTTGCAGGATCCTGCAGAGCCACGGGTGCACTGACCCGGGTTTGGGTGCAAGATCTTGCAGGATTTTGCAGGATCTTGCAAGGCCCGACTGACCTGGGCTTGGGATGGACCCGGGTCGGGACGTCCCCGAGAAACTCATGCAAAGAAACACCTTGCTTGCCTCCAGGGTGCCCTGGGTTTCTCGGGTTTCGATGGTTTTACGATGGAAGCGTGACGTTCCCACACCAAAAATCAAGTCTTGACGCTTCTCGTATCCCCACCAGCCCATCAAGAAACATATCGCCAGGCGAGTTGCCTTGATCAGGGAAGTGTAGAAGCATGCAGTGTAAGAATCGCCTTGGACTTGTTTTCTCGGAAGTCTCTGCCTTGGAAGTGTTTTCTCGGAGGTCTCTTGGGGCCGTCTTGGGTCTCTCTTGGGGTTCTCGCGGAGCCATTTGGGGCACTCTTGGGTCCCTCTTGGAGATCTCTGGGAAGAGCTTGAGCAAAGAGGGGGGTTCCTTAATTTGCCTCCCCCATCGGAAGCTCCCCAAATCGCCTCTTGGGCCCCTCTTTGAGCGCCCTTGGGGCGCTCTTGGGCGCTCTTGGGGCCGTCTTGTGGCTCTCGTGGGCCTCTCTTGGGGCCCTCTTATGCTCTCTTGGAGCCATCTTGTGGCCTCGGAAGGCCATCGACATCGACAACAAAAATGCGAGAAGGCGATATTCATTGATTATCGTTAGGCTTTTGAAGGATGTTGGCCTCTTGGCGGCCTCCTGGGGCATGACCATTTGGAGCCGCCTTGGAGCGGTCTTGGGGCCTCTTGGAGCATCTTGGGGGCCATCTGGATCCATCTTGGGCCATCTTGGAGGTTACATAAGGCTCTCTGGGGCCCTCTTGGGGCCGTCTTGGGCCGTCTTGGGCTCCAACGCCTCGCGAACCCCCCTCCAGGTCCAGGGGGGGCAGGGTACGAGGGTCGCTAGTACTGATGCCAAGAAATCCTTATTGGAGCTGATCAGAGCGATTGAAGATTCTGCCGCCCTGCCCTTTGCCCGAGCCTGCTGTCTGATTGCCCCGCGTGACAAGCCTCGCGGAGGGCCTCGACCCATTGCACTGATGGGCTTTTCATTTGTTGTCTTGCTTCGCCTGCGCCACCCTGAGGTGTCGGCCTGGGACAGGGCCGCTGAGGGGGTTCGGGATAAGACGGCGTTCTTTGGGGGGGTGGACGAGGCGGGGCGGGCGGGTGAATTCGACTCTAAGATTGTCCTGTTGCAAGGTTTCCTGGCCGGAGGCGGCCTGGTCGACCTCGCCGCGTTTACGATCGCGTACGCACAGGATTTAGTTGCACAATCGAAGGGTCTCAATTATCCTCCTCTGCGTCTCCTAGCGCTGGCGTTTGAGGCTCATCCAGGATCTGGGCTGTTGACATTGGACCGAGGGGTGCACGCGCGTATTCTGCCGTCAGGAGGCGTGCTCCCAGTATGCGACCAAAGGGTCTCTGGGGTCGCGTGCCCAGCTACACGCGCCTTTAGCTGCAACGCATGCTGTTTTCCGAGGTTCGCACTCTAGGCAGTGGTTTCATGATATAGTTTCCAGGATGCTCAGGATTTGGCACACAATCGTTGATCTGGCATGGTTCCCCCACCACGCGTTTGTCCGCGCTCTTGCCAGGGGCCTCCTCGGAAGAGAAAACCAGGTTACGATTCCCAGGTGCCTTATCATGGCCTCTCATGCCTCGCTTCGTAATCAGTTCCCTAGCTAGCGACAGGTACTGCTCTATAAGTTGCTAATCCTGCCATTTCTGGCTTTGACTTGGGCCACGATTGTGCTTTTTGCAGTCGGCGTTCAGTCAAGGTGCGCACCCTGATGGTTGGGCGGGGACTGCAGGCTGCAGGCAAGCTTCGTAGGTCCGTGAGAACTGACAAGCGCTCGCCCAAGCCTTTTTACACCAGCTCTCCTTCCAAGTCGAATTCGTTGACGTTCAGGGCAGGTGTCCGTCTATGTTTCAGCGTCTCTAGAGCAGCGCGCGCGCCGGCTGCTTAGTAGCAATGGCACGTTGCTGCACCGCGGCAATTTGCTCCACCTCTGAGGCGGACCGCGATCCAGTTCAAGTCAATGCGCGTAGACTCGTTGCCATCTGGCGGGGCCGGCTCGGAAAGACTTTCCCGCCACAAAGTTGCGGCAGCATTTTGATGAGGCCGTTGAAGTTAGTCAGTGGAATGCCAGGAGGAGGAGGAGGAGAAGGAGGAGGAGGAGGTAGGGAGAGGTAGCGAGAATGAGTGAGGGAGGGAGGGAGGGAGGGAGGGAGGGAGAGAGGAGGAGGAGGAGGAGGAGGAGGAGGAGGAGGAGGAGGAGGAGGAGGAGGAGGAGGAGAGGGACGAGGACGACGGAGGAGGTAGGAGCGGGGAGGAGGAGGAGGAGGAGGAGGAGGAGGAGGAGGAGGAGGAGGAGGAGGAGGAGGAGGACCTCCTTTCCTCCACCCCCCCTCCTTCCCAGGGCCTGCTCAACAAGACAAACGACGACGCCCAGGCCGCCCGCCGCCCGCGCCCGCGCCCGCCACCCCCGCGGCCCCGCGGAGTTTCGGCTTCTGGTCAGCCCGCGGTCCACGGCGACTGCGCAGATGCCCGGGGAGGGGGGCAGGGGTGCAGTCAGCCCTCATAGTAGTAAGTCGGGCCTGTCCCTCTGCAGGAGGAAGATTCAAACATAGTGAAAGCATCGTATGGGGACAATTCTTCTGCACGAGGGGATGCACGCTTCTTCGCCCAGCGTCTGCTGCCTCCCCGTGAGCGAGCACCCGGCCCGGAGGGAAACGTCGACCCACGGTCGCCCGTTCGCCCTCGATCGGCGGGGGGGGGAGAGCGCGGCCCGTAGACGCTGGGCGGCTGGATCTCTCGAAACATACAGTTTTTTGATTCGCGGGTCGAGAGCGCACCTCGTCCGGTCGAAGCTAAGCGGGCCGCGCGAGGCATAGAGTCAACCCGCACAGTAAGGATTAGCGACTTTCCAAGGTCATATGCCCTTGCGTTCTTCCCATTCGGCCCATCCTTGGCCGCTTTAGCTGGCCGCGCCCCGCTCGCAGAGTGTCGACATGGCCTTCCAAGGCCCTTGCATCCTCGTCGAGCGTCCTTATTTCACGTGTTGACTGTGCAGACGACCAGGGCTCCAGAGACAGGGGTCAAAGCAAACGGAGGTCAGTCAGAGCGCGGGATTTTGCAGGATCCTGCCACGCCAAGGTTGCACTGACCCGGGTTAGGGCGCAGGATCCTGCAGAATCTCGCAGATCTTGCAAGGCCCGATTGACACGGGCTTGGATTGACCTGGGCCTTTAGATCTTTGAGTCTAAACCGATGAGAACGGTACGTTTTTATCCTTCCATCCGTAACCACTATCGATGGCCATCCCAGCTTGGCAATCATCAACGTGGGCGTTCCGGGGGATTGCATCCTCATCGCGAGTCCTTGCTATCAGCTTTGACTCCCAGCACGAGTAGCAGCACGAAGAGATGAGGCTCCGTGACCGAAGCCCCCCTCGGCCTGCGGCGGCGGGCCGGTGGCGCACCTCAGAGGCACGCGGCAGAGCTCGAAGAGGTAGCCGGGCACGACCAGGACGACGCCACCAGCGGCGGCGGGCGGCCTGCATGCAGACCGAAGGAGATTTCACTCGCAGGTGTTACCCACTTCGGGCATTCTGTGCCGAGCACCGTGTGGGTCGTCGGCCGCCAGAGCCTCGGACGCATCTGCAAGTGTGCCAAGCCGTTCGTCGAGGCGTACGTGCGCGTTTCATTCCGTCGGTGTGGGAGTTGATCCGCGGCCAGCGAGGGGGGGAAGTGGAAAGGAGGAGGCCTTCTCGGAAGGTGGTGGAACTTCTCAGAAAGCCCTCTGGCCTTCTGAGAAGCGTCCTGTGTCTTCGGGGAAGGCCCGAGGCCTTCCGAGCGTTCTGAGAAGAGCCGCCCCCCCACACCCCTCGCTTCCCCCACCCCCTCCTGGGCTCGCCGCCGAGAATCTCGACCCCCAGACCTCTCCCAGTGTGCGTGCTGACCCGAGTCTCGGGGCGAATCCGGCCGTGGCGGCGACGAGCGCCCCAGAGGCCCGAAAAGCCTTGAATCCTCGAGGAGGAGGGCTCGACCTAAACGGTATCTTGGCGATTTCGTGGGCCGTTTTCGTTTTGACTTCGTTTTGCAGCGAAGGCGGAACTAACACAAAACGAGGGAAACGACATCAAAACGAAAACGAAACACAGTGTTTCGGTCGAGCCCTGTCCTCGGGGCTGGAAACGCCAGGACCGGGTCCGAGACTCTTCCAGGCTCGCCGCAGAGACGAGGCGCGGGCCGAAGCCCGCGGCCCGGGCGGCCCGGGCAGGAGCGTCCCCCGTCGGCGCCAGCGCCCCACTCGGGAGCGGCCAGGAGGGGGGTGAGGACCAGGGAGGGGTGGATATCATGGCGGGAGCCATGATATCATATCTCCCTGGATCTCATGGGGTCTCTTCGTATTTCATGCGTCCCTGTCCCCCCCTGGGCCGCGCACATGCCGCCGGCAATGAGTAGCGCCCCCCCTCTTGGACGCCCCCGAGATCTGGGACCGTTCCTGAACGCACTCAGAAGACCGCGAAAAGCCCGAGACATCCTCCGGAGCCGAACGACGACGGAGGAGGAAGAGCAGGAATATGAGGAGGAGGACGAGCGATGGACATCGCCCAGCATAATCTGGCAGCCCAGCATGCCCTCGTTTCCGTCCTCGGCGCTTCTATGCTGCTCGGTGTCGGTGGCCCGCCTCTTGTGCCTTTGGGCGTGATCTCGTGAGGCGGCCATCGTTCGCGGCAGGTGAGCGCCGACCGCGAGTCTTTCAGCGCGCAGGACAATGTGCACTACGAGAACAGGAAGGGGCCGGGCTGGTGGGCCCACGAGGGACGCGGGCTGAGGAGGGTGTTTTGCGGAGCCTGCGGGACGCGAGGATGAGGCGAGGGACGCGGAGCATGCGGGATGCGGGGATGATGAGCGCGGGGAGGGGCCTGGTGGATCCATGAAGGTCGCGGGGATGGGGGACGCGGGGAGCGCGGGACGAAGCGTTTCCACATGCTGAATATACGTGGCGGCACGGGGCATTCCGTAGGCGCACGGGCACCTCCCTCTGCGCCAGAGGTGCTCGCACCGAAGTCGTGCGCGGACGCGCCGGATACGTTCTGGGCGAGTGTGGCGCGCAGCGTCTACTCCAGGGGGCGGCTGTCCCGCCGTGGAGTGGAGCCGCGGCAGCGGCGTAGCGGAGCGGCGCAGGAGGAAGAGTCTCAGGCATTCGAGAAGGAGGGGAGAAGGGGGGGGGGGAGGGCAGGCAGGAAAGGCATTCGAGAAGGAGGGCAGGCAGAAAAGGCATTCGAGAAGGAGGGAGAAGGAGGAGGAAGAGTCTCAGGCATTCGAGAGGGAGGGGGGAAGGATGGGGAGGCCAGGCAGAAAAGGCATTCGAGACGGAGGGCAGGCAGAAAAGGCATTCGAGAAGGAGGGAGAAGGAGGAGGAAGAGTCTCAGGCATTCGAGAGGGAGGGGGGAAGGGGGAGGGGAGGCCAGGCAGAAAAGATGTGATTTTGTGAAGGGCCAGGGTCCAAGGCGCTTCGCTCCCCTCGTCCACCTGCTTGCGGCCCCCGTTCCGGCCCGCGGCACGGGGGCCACATACCCAGACGACCGGCATATATTTTGTCCCAGCGCTCCCTTTTGGTTTGGGTCCTCGTTCTGAATGGCGCACTGATCGTCTCCGTTTTCCTTCGTTCTCCTGACTCCGCTCCATCCTCCCGCTCGCGCTGCCTGGTCGCTGCCACCTGCGCAACCGCTGCGCAACTATCAACGCTTCCGCGGGATCTTGGGAGGCCCAGCGGAGCGTACATCGTCCGATGCACACCCAAGCAAGACCTCGCGACTCCCTGGGGGGCATCCGACCTTGCAACTGTCGCCAGCGGCTGGCCACGCCCATCCAGTCGGGACCTCGCAGATCCTTGTGGACGCAATTGTCGTCATTTTCGTTAGCACGGGCAACCAGTCGGGACCTCTTGGGACGCTGAGGCGATCCGCCATTCTTGGGCGAAGCGTTGAATGGCACTGCAGACCCCTCATTGTGTTCGGTCTTTTTGAGCGTTCCGATGTTGAACGGGCGAAGAACGATATAACATAAACTTGTTCGCTGTCGGGGGCGCCTGCCCTGGAAAGCTTATAACCTGACGGCGGCAGTGGCAGCGCCCCCGGTGACGGAACAGTTTATTTCGTACCGTTTTTTTCGCCCGCTAAGATGTCTTTTCGCATCGTGTTTAGAAATGGTTCGGTATTGCCTTCCAATAGTTGATGTTCTCAGGGTTTGGGTTCGAATAACTCAACCATTTTGTCTGTTCGGGCCTCTGGCAGCCAAAGACGCCACCAGAGTTCCTCATCGGCTGTCCCCCGAGGAGCCCCCAAGAGAGCCCCAAGACGGACCCAAGAGACGTCCCGACAGGCCGCCAACAGAATCCCGAATACCCGCCATCCCGAATGCTCCGAATAATTAGGGCAAACCAGAGATCGCCGACAGGCGAACACCACACATCTTCGTCAGGCTTTTCAGCGGTTTCAGCTTCGGCCCTCAGAACGTCTCCGACCTCTGACGGCCCACGAGACCTCCAAGGTCGCCCCAATCGGGCCCTAAACAGGGCACTTGGGGAGCGATGAGAAGCTGTAGGAGGATCACGTAGGAGGAGTTTGGTGATGGTAGTGCTTCTGATGATGAGAAGAAGGAGCATCAGCATGTGGATCTGGAGGGTGCGGAGGGTGAATCTGATAACTTTGATTATGATGATGCGACGGAGGAGGGTATTCACGTATGGGTGAGACGGATGGTTTTTGGAGGTTCGCGGCTGAGGACGGCGAGGAGACGCAGCAGGGGGAGGATGAGTTTGAGTATGATGACAACGATGAATGTATTAATAATACATGTTGTTGATGATGATGATGCTCATGTTGATGGTGATGATGGTGATGGTAGTGGTGATGGTGGTGGTGATTGTGATCGTGATGATGGTGACGGCGATGCTGATGCTGAGTCTAGGATGAGGATGATGAGGATGAGGATGAGGATTAAGATGAGGATGATGATGAGGATGGTGATGGTGATGATGATGATGGTGGTGGTGGAGATGATGGAGATGATGATACTGATGCTGATGATGAAGACGATGATGATGCTGATGATGATGATGATGATGATGATGGTGATATTGACGATGATGATGGTGGTGATACTGACGATGACGATGATGATCATGATGCTGATGATGATGACAATGATCTTGATCATGATCATGGCCGTGACCATCATCGTTTTTGTCGTGATTCTCCCATTCCTTGTCATCCTCTTCCTCCTTGTCAAACCATGTCGTACAAGATGGAGTGAGGTGCGTCTGTATCCGTCGTTCCAGGCTCGGGGGGACAGGCCCATTGTCCCACGGCGGTGCCGAGGCTCCAGGAGCTCTTTTTCCCGCTCCAAGACGAGCTAGATGTCCTCCAAGACGGTCACGATGGCTCAAGATGGCCTCAGAGATGCCTTCAATACCGCCAAGAAGCTCCAAGACGCCCAAAGAGACCCAAAGAGGCCCTATAGAGGCCTCCCAATAGGGCCCCAACAGGTAAACATGGCCCCATTCCCGCTCTCCCAAGTCGGACCACGAGGCTCCCACGAGGGCTCGAAGACGGCCGAAGAGGGCCCAAAGACGGCCGAAGAGGGCGAAGGGTCTAGCCGCGACCCACCCCGCGACCCAGCCGCGACCCACCCGCGACCCATCCGCGACCCACCAGCGACCCACCCCGCGACCCACCCGCGACCCACCCCGCGACCCAAGGCATGAACGATTCTTGCCCCGGTGCCGGTGCCGGTGCCGGTGCTGGTGCCAGTGCCGGTGCCGGTGCCGGTGCCGGTGCCGGTGCCGGTGCCGGTGCCGGTGCCGGTGCCAGTGCCGGTGCTGGTGCCGGTGCCGGTGCCGGTGCCGGTGCTGGTGGCCGGTGCTGGTGGCCGGTGGCCGGTAGCCGGTGCTGGTGCCAGTGCCGGGGCCGGTGCTGGTGCTGGTGCCGGTGGCCGGTGCTGGTGCGGGTTCTTGTTTTCCCAGAACATCCTCTCCTTCTCCCTCCCGCCTCCCGCCTCCCAGCAGTGCCCCTCCCGCCCCTCCAGGGAGGCCCCGCCTGAGCGAGGAGGGGGTATTTACATGGTTTCGTGAACCCATGCTATTTGCCTGACTGGTATCGGAAACCCATACGTGGCCGCGCCCTCTCCCACCATCCCACCCCTCCAGGGAGGCCCCGTCTGAGCGAGGAGGGTATCGGAAACCCAGGCCCCGTCTGAGCGAGGACTCGGAAACCCACACTAATTACATGGTTTCGTGCCCCTCCCTCCCCTCCAGGGAGGCCCCGCCTGAGCGAGGAGGGAATCGGGAACCCGTACTATTTACAAAGCTTCGTGCCCTTCCCACCTCTCCATGGAGGCCCTGCCTGAGCGAGGAGGGAATCGGAAATCCCACCAGCCCTTTGGGCGTGAGTGGTTTAGAGAGCTTTCTCTGTTCTCAACCCCCCAACCCCCATTCTTCCCCTTCGGGGAGGGGTTTACCCCTCCCCCTACCCCCCCCCTGGGCCTGGACAGGGAGCCCCGAGTGTTCTCAGGGGGGTCCATTTCGACTCCTCGGAGGGCCAAAAAAACGACCCTCACGAGGATTCTGGCCCCGACGGGGGGGCCGAGTTTGGCCCCTCTGCTCGTCTTTGAAGCAGAAATCATTGATTTTACGAAGGTTTGGGCCCCATTTTGGCCTTCTGAGGGGGCCGCGCTCATCTTCCCTCATAGCAAAATCATTGATTTTACGAAGGTTTTGGGCTCATTTTGTCCTTCTCAGGGGGCAGCTCTCATTTGCGCTTCTGAGGAGGTCGCACGAGGCCCCAAGATGGCCCCAAGAGGCACCCAGGAGGCTCCCAAGAGGCCTCCAAGAGGCCCCCCAAAGGCCCCCAAGCGGCCCCAAGAGGCCCCCAAGAGGCCCCCAAGAGGCCCCCAAGAGGCCCCACGAAGCCCCAAGAGGCCCCCAAGAGGCCCCCAAGAGGCCCCCAAGAGGCCCACGAGGCCCCAAGAGGCCCCCAAGAGGCCCCCAAGAGGCCCCCAAGAGGCCCCCAAGAGGCCCCAAGAGGCTCCAAGAGGCCCCCAAGAGGCCCCACGAGGAGCCCGAACGACTCACACCAGGACGAGGGGCCCGAACGACTCACACCACGAAGAGCCCGAACGACTCACACCACAAGGAGGGGCCCGAACGACTCACACCAGGACGAGGCGCCCGAACGACTCACACCACGAGGAGCCCGAAGGACTCACACCACGACGCGGGCCCCTCACGACTCACACCACGAGGAGCCCGAACGAGTCACACCAGGAGGAGGGGCCCGAACGAGTCACACCAGGATGAGGGGCCCGAACAACTCACACCACGAGAAGCCCGAACGACTCACACCAGGACGAAGAGCCCGAACGACTCACACCACGAAGAGCCCGAACGACTCACACCAGGAAGAAGGGCCCGAACGACTCACACCAGGACGAGAAACCCCAAACGACTCAAATCACGAGGAGCGCTTTCTCTCCCTCCTCCTCCGCCTCGTCCTTCTCCCGCTCCCCTCACAAGGAGGATGTACAAGGAGGCGGGAGGAAGGAGGAACAGGGGAGATATGCGGGGCCAAGCGGACACACGCCTGAAAAACACGACTGTCGGCATGCTTCGCGAGAGTTGTTGCTGTGAGATGGGCTGGTGGGGATACGCGAAGCGTAAAGAATTAATAAAGATTACATGGTTTCGTGCTCCTCCCACCCCTGCAGGCAGGCCCCGCCTGAGCGAGGAGGG